AATTCAGATTAAACCAGTATTTCTGGTACTTTGAATATTTCCTACATGTGGTTCCTTGATTCACTGTTCTGCTAAATGGTGACAAGTTGTTGTGAAGAAAGACTTAACCACTCAAACTCATTCCAACCCCTGGATCTTTGCACCAGCTGCTCCCTTTGGCTGGAGTTTTCTTTCCCAGATCTTCATGTGGCCAGCTCTTACCATTCAGTTTTCGATCGGTCTCTGCTTCCTTGGAGAGGTATTGTTCTGGCCAGTGACCCTTCACCATCCTTTGTCACATCATACGGTTTTATTTTTTCACAGCATATGTCACTGTCTGGGGTTATCTTTGTACACCTGGTCACCACCTGTCCTTCAACTGGAATGTGATTTCAGAAGGCCAGAGGCCATGTCCGTCAAGTTCATTGCCCTGTCCTCACTACATATGCAGTATGATTTCTAACAGTGGATTGATAAATGCTTGCAGAGTACATGGATAAAACATTTTGGAAATGGTGGGTAAAGCTAAACAGGTTTCTCTAGAGTGGTATAGCATTTTCTAAATATATTTAGATGGATGGGATAGATAATTGTGGGAACATAGAAGGGATGGAATATGCCCAGATTAACCTGGGGTGTAATGAGGACATATGGATGGTGGTTATGTAGTTTGCTTTTTAGCTTTACAGAAATTTCTAGCCCCTATACTTTTAAGATTGTGTTATAGAACGTTGAAAGATAAACCAAGATGAACCCTGTAGGGTGTAGGAGACCCCTCTCTCTGTGACCCCCTCTTGTATCACCATGCAGTGCAACTCACCTTCTTGAATAGGTTTTTGAGCTAAGCCAGGTCAAAGGTAAACTTCTCTCATGTCTGATTTACCTATGTTACTTTGATTTAGAAGCTGATTTTGAGATAATTATCTGTAGCCCTGGAAGCAGAGCTGGTTTTTCTTGACACATGGCATGAGCTCCAATAGCTCTGTACGTAAAGAACTCCCAAGGTTGCCTTCCTAAGGAGAAGCCTGTGGGCAGGGCAGGCAGTTAGTGCTTCAGGGCCCCTGTCTGGCACAGAAGACAACTGGGAACACACAGTCCTATATTTCTGTTCTATTGTTTTGTTTTCTTTTTAAATTGTTGAATATTTCATGGATACTTCAATAGTGTGAATATAAAACACAAATAAATAAACTATGGTGCTAGGGTACCATGCTGTTAGGCTTTACGTATGTGGGTAGTGGAGCAGGAGTAAATGAAGTAGCATGCTCATTTTCTGCTCAAATTAATTCTTTAATCTTTGGATAACAACCTGGAGTTTATCATTCCAAATGCCATGGCTGTGTGCACAGATCTACTGACCCCGCCATGTCTATAATCAGAAGTATCATGGATTTCATTTTTTTCATAATCACTAATTTATATTTCACATTTTGGACTGAAGCTTTTTGTCTATTGTTTTCTAATTTTATCAATTAAAATTGGAGGAAGTTGTGCATCATGTTTAATTGTTTAATAATTTTGCATTCTATTCAGAAATAAGGTTGGTCTCTAATTTACTTTATTTTACTGTCCCTGTCTTTTTTTGGTTTCGGTGTAACACCTTGATAAATGAGTTGGCTAAGTTTGAGAATATTCTATTTCTTTTAATTGGGCAAAACTCACCTGTAAAACTTCTTGAGTCTGGTGGCTTTAGTTTGTGTGCATGTGTAAAATGGAGGATACTTTCTGATTCTTGATTGACTTTCTTAATGTTTATTGATATTTCCAGGTTTTCTATTTCTTCTTAGGTCAATTTTAGTGGTTTTTCTTTTTCTAGAAAGTTAATCCTTTGATCACCCTAAGCATAATTTTTAAAAAATTGTTATACAGTCTTTCCACAGATTAATNTCAAACTCACTCACTGCCTTGTGATTCTAATCCATTTCTAGTTCACAGAGATGTTTATCTGGTTTTTGGAGCCAAATTGCAACCTTTCGGTTTTCTGTTTTTATAATTTCATTTCTATTAGCCACATGTTTGGAACAAAGGAGGTTCATGAAGATGTGAATTTGCTGACCAGAAGTTTTATAGTTAACTTTTAAGCATGACTTTAATTCTGGTCCTGATTTCTTGTCCATAGCTCTATATGGTTCTGACCTTCGAAGAATGCAGTAAAGGTTAATCTTTTTTTAATGTGCTCATTGTTTATACTCATCATTGAGAGGAAGACAGTTACATTATCCATTATACATAGTTGAGAGTAAACTTCTTTAGTAGGCTTATGTGATTAAATTGTAAAAGTCAAAATAATCAATTGGAAATTTGTTTTAACTATGTATTGATCACAACAACTAATATCTTTCTCTGTAACGGACTGAACTATTTTGATTCTGAATCACATTCTGTTACTAAGTAGAAGCAAATCAACCATTGATTTGTTGATTCTCTACCATATTTCAAGTCTTTTGAGAAACATATGCAAAGGATGTAGCTGCCACTAGGAGGGCACAGTTTCTCAGCTGAGAGGTGGGGCTGTGGGCGCATCCTCCCCTCTCCCTGGCAGAGGTGTGCCAGATCAGGGATGGGAGCCTTTTTATTTTTGAAGTCTGCCCACTCTTCCCCCTTCCCAGGCCCCTACCACAAGGGGAGGGTAGTTTATTCCTTTCCCCCAGTTGCTTGAGAATACCATCAAGAGATCCGTTTGTACTAAGGCCAGACACCATTTCATCAGGACATCCTGCTAACAACTAAACATGTAATGAAACACTGGGATGAATGATTAGGAAACTAGGTGGATGGAGCCTGTGCTGGGTGCCTTGCATGAGTCCCTTTCCTCATGCTTGCGGGTACATCAATGCTGTGGACATTTGTTAATGTTCATTTTTAGATCCATGGAAATGGGAGCCCAGAGAGCCCAAGCAGCTTACTGAAAGTTCCTTGTAAATGACAGAGTGCTACATGTGGGCGTGTAAGTTGCTTCAGTCATGTCCGACTCTGCAACCCTATGGACTGTAGCCCACCAGGCTCCTCTGTCCTTGAGATTCTCCAGGTGAGAATACTAGAGTGGGTTGTCATTTCCTTCTCCAGGGATCTTCCTGACCCAGGGTTCAAGCCCATGTCTCCTACATCTCCTACATTGACAGGTGGCTTCTTTACTGCTAGCACCACCTGGGAAGCCTGGTGGGCAACAGAGGTGCACTTAAAATCTTACCCTTCTACCTCTAGAGCCCATGGTCTAACTACTCTGTTGAAAGAAGAAGGGCAAAGACAATGTTGAAACATGCTGTACCTCATTGAGTTTACTGGAAGAACATATGGACACTGAGATTCATAAATTGTTATAGAGTTGAATGAGATAAAACAATGCTCCTTTGATAAGCCATTTAGTTATTTCTTTGATCTTCAGAAAATGCTACCCTTAAATTTGTCTACAATAGCATAAACTATTGATATCTGCCCTTTGTCATCCCCTCCCCATTCTTGGTGATTTTTTTTTTTTACCTTCTCTACAGAGATTATGCTCAAATGTGATGTCAGGATATGCTTTTTGTTCCCAGCATAAGCTTCTCACTTCTACATGAAATATGCCAGGATTTTGATGCTTCCTCCAAGGCTCTATTCTGGACCCTCCTGAGAAGAGATCTATTGTGTGGCCAGTCTTACCAGCTCTGTAAATGCAATTGACAGTGGAGTCATTCGTTCAGTTAGCCATCGCCAGGGCAAAACTCACCTCTGGTACATGGGCAGCATCAGTTCAAACACCTGAATTTATTTTCACCCAGTGGTAGCTGGTTACCTAGTAACTGCAGAGTTATTTAGAGAGGCCTGTGTGTTTGCGATTGCTTGAGCTCTAACTTTTTTTTTTACCCCCTTTGCAACCTACTGTTGAAATGAAAATGTAACTTAGCTACTTCATGGCATATGGATGTTTTCAGATGGAAGAAGTTCATGCTGTTTTAAATTAAGCTCACCAAACAACATTTTTAGAATATTTGTCATATTTCTAAATAACATGTGCTGTGATTGATACTCCCTGTAATTCAAACTGGCAGCACATAGTACCCAAAACCTGTGCCTGTGGCAGTGGGCTGTGTGAAACCCACTTACGTGTTCCAGCCCCCCAAGTGAGGCTTTCCTTGAGAGAATTGTTTGCAGCATTTGAAGTCGTCTTAAAATAATTATGGTGTAATCAATAATGTCAACCATTTAGGTGTTCTTGCTCTGTGCCAGGGACCGTGACAGTGATGAACATGTTATTTCATCTCATTTAATTCTCACAATACACTTTAAAGATTTGTATTATTCCTACTTTACAGCTAGGGAAGCAAGGTTTAGAGAGGTTAAAGAACTCAGCCATGTCAAGCGAATCGGGATAAATTGTTTAAAAAACTCTTTAGATTATGTGATAAAGCTAAACATAGCAGATTAATTTTAGCTCTTTGCGACCCCATGGACTGTAGCCCGCCAGGCTCCTCTGTACATGGGATTCTCCAGGCAAGAATACTGGAGTGGGTTGCCATTTCCTTCTCCAGGGGATCTTCCCAACCCAGGGATCAAACCCAGGTCTCCCTCATTGCAGGCAGATGCTTTATCCTCTGAGCCACCAGGGAAGCCCCATTTAATTCTCACAATACACTTTAAAGGTGTGTATTGTTCCTACTTTACAGCTAGGGAAGCAAGGTTTAGAGAGGTTAAAGAATAGCCATGTCAAGTGAATCGGGATAAATTGTTTAAAAAACTTTTTAGATTATGTGTTAAAGCTAAACATATCTGATTAATTTTAGCATAGTCAAGTAAAATGTAATGTATTAGAGAAAAGCAATCAAAGTAGGCTATGTACCATTTATATGAAGCAGGCAGAGGGATGTGATGGAAATAACCCTTGGCTGTGGGTCAGAAGTTCTGGGTTCTATTTGCAGGCCCTGCCACTTGGGCAAATTACTTCCCTGTGTAAAAGCAGGGTGTTGGCCATAATCTCCTAAGGTTATTTTTACTCTAGTAGAGTGTGAATGTAGGAGCCTGAAAAGAAGTTCAGAGACAGATAGGTTTCTTAATCTGTGTAATTCTAAGCAATCAAAGAGACCAGGTAAATTCTGGGAACTATCAGGAAGGTTACTGCAGTTTCTTTATAATACACACAAAAATCTGTGTCATCCATACATTTGATTGCCATGTCTCCAAAATCCAGTGGAACTGGAGAAGGTTCAGAATGAACCATCGAAATGGTATAATGAGACCCTTAAAATGAGTGCAGCAATCTTTATGCCCTGCAAAGGAAAAAAAAAATTCATTTAGAAATGTCTGCAAAGTCATAATTTTTATGTATTATGTACTTGAGAAGATAATCTTAGGGCAGATAAAGGGAAATACCATGTGGAGTTGCTAGACTCATGGGATTTTTTACCAATGGATGCAAAACATGAAGATAACTTTGATAACATTTAATTGAATGAAGAGGTGATGGTCCATCATGAAGTAGTAAAGGAAACTGTAAGAGGTGGAGCTCCCCCCAAAAGATGGTGTCATATTATTCTGCCCTCCCACAGGACACCCTAGGTTCCAGTGGAAGTTGATGCAGCCAGAAAGCAAATTTGAAATCATAAAAATATTTTTTTCCAGCACAGCATATTTCCTTAATAATAAATGTCACTAGCAATATAATTTCAATTTTTATTTTCAGCCCAGTCAAAGAAAAAGCATGATAATAGAAATTTACCATAGAAAAATACATTAGTATCATAGGAATTGCTGAATAATGGCCAAGAGAAGTCCATTTTTCCTTTGAGAATCATAGAATCTTGGGGTCGACGCTGCCTTTAGAGATTATCAGCTCAGTGCCCACCTTCCACTCCCACCTCAGGCCAGAAATCCATCTTTACCTGACAGGTGTTCCTTCTGCTTCCGCTTGAGCGCTGCCAACATTTGGCAGCTTACTCCTCTGAGGGATACTATTGGAACACTCGTTGAAACACTCAGATCCATTCCACTGAGCTGAAATCTATCTGCATGTACCCTCCACTCCCTGGCCTGGTTCTTCCTCTTCTTGTGGATGAAGCATTTAGCCCTCTGAAGCCTTCACTTCGTCTGTGTAACATATTCAGTTGCTCTTCAACCAATATGATGTCCACATCCTGTCTAATCCCAACAGCTCTTCTCTGGCCACAGTCCTTTCCTCTAGAAGATCTGCTTAGGTATCTAGGTGGGAAAAAAGGGAGGAAAAAAATATTTGATTGATTAGAATAAAGTGAGAGTCAGAATCCCATATTTAATCAACAAACCCTAAATTTTTATTAACTTTTTACATAGTTGAGACATCCTCTTGGCTCAACATGCTTAGGCCCATGTGAATGTTCTGGCTGTCCCCAAGTGAACTACGATCAACCCACCATCAAAAAGTGCAACGTGCACCTTCATATTTATCCTGCTAAATTATCTTGTTGACTATAAGCTATTATTTCTGTCTCAGGATATTTCTGAATCTTGATTTGATCCAACATATTAATGATTCATCTTCTATCTTCCTAAAATTCATAAGCATATCTTTAAGATATTGATGAAAATGTTGAACCTGATTATACCAGTTAGGCAGGTGCTGACATTAAGAATTTGATGCAAATTATGTGACTTGTATTGATGCTTATATTTCTCTTTATCTTGCTATAGTTCTGTATCCTATTAAAATACAGTGATTTATGCTACCAAATACAAGTTAAATTAATAAATAGTTGTCTTATTAGCATTTTGATTTTTCAGAAAAAGGACAATTTGGGAGAAAGAGTCCATCTTCTTCCCCTCCTCCTTCCTTTCTTTCCCCAAAGTATATGATTAACTATTCAAACCACATGGCTATAATCAACATTTAACTGATGAGAATATAACCTCATAACAAGTCAAAATACTTAGGAGGACCATGGATGGCCTCATAAGAGTTGACATTAAGAAATTTAGGCCTACAATGTTATAATGATGTCACAATATCCATTTATGGAGAAAGTGAACATTCTTTTATCACAATGTTATCTTAGTCTAATTAATTTCATTTTGGAGAGACAAAAGATAAACTATTCATTATCTTTTTGTCGCCGCTGATAAGTTTTGAAAATTACCTTGTATTCTCATTAGTTTCTTCTCTCGATAGGCACTCCTCATGGACTCTTGGTCCCTAGGGCCCATTTTTATTCCTTCCTGTCTAGCACGTCTGCCTTTACCAAACATTATGACATTCAAGCTGCTCCTACTTCTTATCCTTGAAGGTCACTTTAAGAAGGACAGAGGACAAGTTTTCGGGTTGTGCAAAGCACAGCCATGCTTCATAACTTTGGACTTAGAAATCACTTCCTGGCAATTCCTTTTGAGTTGTGATGTGCAAACATACAGTTAACCCACTTTTTAGCTATTAGTGACTTATGATTCTTGTGAGACTAAAATTGTCACTTCTCTTCTTCATATAGGTGTGTTATTTGCCTGTGAATATTGAAGTTGAGCTTCAATTTATTGTATTTTGAATGGAAAGAGAGAGTTTTTCAGCTTGGGTAAATATATGTAGTGTATACTTTCCCCTGGATCTCATAGCATATATATTAGGTACGATGCTAAATAAGAGGTCTATTCTGGATTTTTTCCCTAGGACACGTAAATTGAAATAAAAAATAAGACAGAATCAGAATTAATGGGCAAAGTAATATTCTTTTGCACAAGGTTGCAAGAATATAAAATGTTTAATATTTTCAACACCTTTCTCCTAAAACAAAATCTACCAGTGGAAATCTGGTTTCTTTCTGGAGTCTTAATACAGAGATTACTGACTCCTATGACCCGGCTGATAGAATGTGAGGTCAAGTATGATGAGAGGACTAAAAGACCAGGAAGGGCTACCCTTAAGCAGCAAACCTATGTTTTGGCTCCTTGACACTTCTGTCCTGAAGTTAAAAACTAGGTCATCAAAAAGTTCTGAAAAGTCCTCTATTGGGAATTCCCTGGCAGTCCATTGGTTAGGACTCTGTGCCTCCACTGCAGGGGGCACAGGTTCAATCCCTGGTCAGGGAACTAAGATCCCACAGGCTGCATGATGCAGCTTAAAAAAAAAAAAAAAANAAATAAAATTTAAATGATGCAGTCTATGGTATTTTGTTACAGCAGTCCACACAAGCTAAGACACTGTGGTAGACGAAGAATGACCAAAAACTCTTACACTGCCCCCCCTTTGCACCTACGCTCTTGTACTGTGACATGGTCCTCCCCTCAAGAATTGGTTTGAATCCACCCCTTGGCTGTGACTTGCTTTGGTGAAGAAGATATTACCAGTCATGACACAAGCAAAAGTTTGAAAGGTACTCATGCATAGGACTTTCCTCTCGCTGATATCTGGCAGCCCAGCTAGCTTGCTTCCTTTAAGAATGAGAGGCCATAGGAGCAGAAGTGAACCAAACCAGCTGAGGAACCTCCCGTTAGACCAACAGGCCTGCCGGCTGACCCAGCAGTTGACCATATACACGTGAGCAAGCCAGGCAGAGATCAGATTAGAAGAACCCGCAAACTCCTGAGTCAAATAAATGACTATGTTTTAAACCACTACAGTTTGGAGATCTCATCCAGTAATAGTAACTGATACAGTCCTAAGGTCACCTCCATCCTATAATAAATGTGGAATTCACAGCAGGTCAAGCTTTGAGTTCAGGGAGAGGATATTATCATGAACCGCTTCCTGACTTTTTCCTCTTCTCCAGGGGGAATAATAGATCTTCTTAGCCTTGCTGCAGACGGACCTATCACCAAGAGGACCTGCTCTGCCGTCCCTCTCTGGATGGCCTTGACCACACCCCCTCTCTCCTGGTCTTGGTTCCCTCACTTCACAGCGAGGAAAACGGATTTAACAAGAGGCTCCCCAGGTGGCTCTAGTGGTAAAGGACCCACCTGCCAATGCAGGTTAGACACGGGTTCAATCCCTGGGTTGGGAAGATCCCCTGGAGGAGAGCACTGCGACCCACTCCAGTATTCTTGCCTGGAGGATCCCATGGACAGCGAGGCCTGGCGAGCTGCAGTCCATGACATCACACAGAGTCAGACACGACTGAAGCAACTTAGCACGCACGCACACGACTCAACAAGCGGCTCTCAAACACTGATTCGAGACAAAGCTCATATTTGGATGCAATAAAATGAGAAAAGAATGAGACATTTTAAAGTTCCTATTTAATCTAGAATTCTTCCATTTAAAAGACTGCTCTTTATTTTCAGATCATATCCTCTTTCTGATTATTGTTTTTAAGTTGTCATTTAAGAAATGGTGGACTTCCCAGGTGACACAGTGGTTAAGAAATCTGCCTGCGATGCAGGAGAGGTGGCTTCGAAGATCCACCTGGGAGGAGGTGGATCCCCTGGAGGAGGAAATGGCAACATACTCCAGTATTCTTGCCTGGAAAATTCCATGGACAGAGGAGTTTGGCAGGCCACAGTCCATGGGGTTGCAAAGAGTCAGATACAACTGAGCATACACATCTTTAAGAAATGATAAGGTATTGGGTGGGGGAAGGATATAAGTGAACTGAGATTTGAAAAATGTTTATAGCTGTTGAAGTTGGGTGATCTTTGTATATGCTTGAATATTTCCATCAAAAACATGTTAGTAAACTATGGTGAAGGTAAGCTATAATGGTGTTTGTATGTACATCCATGAGTATGTTTTAACTCTAAACTGGATGGAAATGCAGTTCTAAAAATAAAATAGGAAGGAGGAAGGGGAAGAGAAGAATTGTGGGAATTAGATACAAGCAGACAGAGAGAGGGCTTCCCTGGTAGCTCAGCTGGTAAAGAATCCTCCTGCAATGTAGGAGACCCTGGCCCAATTCCTGCATCAGGAGGATCCCCTGGAAAAGAGTTAGGCTACCCACTCCAGTATTCTTGGGCTTTCCCTGGTGGCTCAGACAGTAAAGAATTCACCTGCAATGCAGGAGACCCCAGGTTCCATCCCTGGGTTGGGAAGATCCCCTGGAGGAGGGCATGGCAACCCACTCCAGTATTCTTGCCTGGAGAATCCCCATGGATATAGGAGCCTGGCAAGCTACAGTCCATGGGGTTACAAAGAGTTGGACACAACTGAGCAACTAAGCACAGCACAGCACAGACAGAGAGAGCTTCCCTGCTCTCAGAAATGCCGTTCATAACCAGCAATACAGCCGCTTCACACGTGTCTCCACAACATCCCACCCCAACACCACCACCAGACTCCCTCCCTCCCCCTCTGGGTCCTGGAAGGGAAGCTTTCTCACTCTGACTTCTGAGTGAGCAAAAGTCACACTGATACCAAGTCCAAGCTTAAATACAAGGAGGTGTTGACTCAAGTAGTACAACTTTATTCAGAAAGGCGGATGACCAAGAAGATGGCAGACTAATGTCTCAAAATAACCATCTTATGACATCTGGATGCCAGGTTCTTTTACAGAACAGAGATGGGGGAGGTAAGGAAATAAAGTAAAAAGGCCATCAATCTAGCAAATATCTCCTGGAATGGCAAGCCTCAGGCAGGGAATTGTTAATTTTTGGCTTCCTGTAGCCACACACAGGTGACAGGGTTCTGAACAAAGACATTTTGGTTTAACATTCAGACAGAGGAGCAGGGTTCTCCGGGTAGGCTACTTTGTATAAACAGTATCCTTTTAGTAAACAAAAGCAATCAGAAGCGAAGGTTAAAGTAACAGATCCAAACTGGAGTCATAGTTGGCTCTTCCCTGCAACAATATCAATGCTCTAGTTTTCCCAGGAGGTCCAAGGAAAATGTGGCTGTGAACAGGCTGAGGGAGGGGAAGGTGGCACGCCCCAGCCTAGCCACCCACCTATTGAGCAAAGCACGTGGGTTGATTGCCCGATGGCCCTGGCCACATGCCCCTCACAAAGAAGGGCAGGGCCTTGCTGTGCCGTGACCAGCCCCTCCCCCCATACCTGGGATGGAGCAGCAGAGGCTCTCAACTTCCAGACCACATCCCGTTGGCCTTTACCATGTCAGTGACTGACAACCAAACTTCCTTGAGAAGTGGAATATTTCCTGCCATATCAGTAAACAAGGATCCCACAGTCCTCAGAGTTACAGCCCTGCAATGTGAGCCTGTAAACCCTAAGGTAACACAGGAAAGAGAAGAATACCTGCTATCTAGCAGCCATCAGACTACAGCCACTCCCCTGGCCAGCCCAAA